ATATGACTATGACATAATGTATCATAGATAATGGCTAGTGTCACTGTGCGATAGGATATTAACCTGTTAAGATACACATGTATAAACACACAGAAATCTATTTAATTGCTACTACGTGCTGACATAATTGTTGCTGCTGTAAAGAGTAAATGATGTGATGTTGGGTGTTACGGCAAAACAGGCAATGATATATAGCGTAGTTGTATGTGACAAAGATATCATCATTACATAAATGCCTAATTATCAGTTATTCTTCAGCTGCAACACATTATGACCAGAAGGATCTAGTTAATATTTTATATCAATATACAATACATATTATCTTAACCTCTGAAACTAGGAGATAAGCAACATGTGTCATTTCCTGTTATAAAAAAATAAAAATTAAAATCCAGTTTCCTACTTTTAGACAAACTTGATATTGTTGGGTCTAGCAGATAAATTGCCAGCTCAGTATATAGGAATCATTATACCCATACTGGATATTGAGGTGTCCATTGTGTCTGATGCTAAAACCTCAAGTTTTGTTTCATGGCTATAGCCCTGCAAGATTTTCTCTGACGATTCATGAGTCAACCAATCCCACCAGACAACAAGCAAAAGTTGGTCTTTATTATACCCACAACAAACTTCCCAACTAGTTTGGCTTAATTTAGTCATTTTTGGCCAATGACATTGACCATAAGGTCGTATTAGGTCAGTGATGTCACCATAATCTGCAACCCTTTGTTATGTGTTGGGTGGGCATAACCCCAGCCGCAGCTGATTGAGATGGCAGTTCACTATCATTTGACAGTTTCCAACAGGTTTGGGCCAAAACTGGGTTCAGCTTGAACGTCAGCCCATCATTACTTCCAACTTTTTCTGTCATGTTAATGTTATCTTCATATTATCTATGATCTCTTTATTGTTACAAAACCTAGTATTGCGCCAGGCTAAATTACTTTGTGACATCATTGTTGGCCATTTTACTTCCTTATCTTCTTGGGCTAAGTGGGTGGGTAATTGCTGCATAGCACATAGTCTCTTCCCACCTTTTCGAACCAAACATCTCAAGATGCTTTGGGATGTTAGTATCAGATGTGGGCAGTCTGTGAGCATGCAATAGGTGGTCCTGTGGAAGGTGCTATCTCTAAGTAACATGTTGGTCAGATGGATGTGTGGTGACGGAACATAATTTAAAAGAAATCAACACATGAGCAACACCAGGACCTGGGGCACCCTACAAGATTTGCAATCCCCAGACTATATAGGGGTGTTAACGGGACCAGTCACCCTGCTGAGCATACAACAGCAAACAGTGCCTGGTCCCCTGAACAGGAAATTGCAAAGATAAAGCCTTTGAAGGTTGACCTCTGGGGTAGATAAGAGGTAAATAGAGCTAACATTATGAAGATGATTGTATAGATTTTGGTCAGAGTGGGGCTTTAAATCTTAGCTTTTATGAATATCCCACTAGTAATCATGGTCTGGAAATTGGCCATTTTATTGCATCCCTTCAGGGGTGGTCTGGGGGCATTTGGGTTTCTATGAGAACCTAGAGCTACAGGCCAAGGGAAACATTTTACTGATTGGTTGGAGCAGAGTTCTTCTAAATATCTGCAGGTTTACCCCAATGCCTTTTCCCTGAGCCTGTGCAGGGAAATTGTTGAATGAGTAGGATGGATTTTCTCAGTCAATCCCTACTGTATTTTGCAGAGACAGACGATAGCTGTAAAGCTCTCCTTTAACAAACATGCAAGTTCCCTCAGAGTGAACCTCTACATTTGTAGAATGATCATTTGTAACCATGATAGTGCTGTGTCCTGATTGTGAATGCGCAACTGACCATCATCTAATGTCTGTAGGCAACTTTTTCTAAATCAGCAACCCTCATTGCTGTCCATTTACGTTTCCATTTTTGCTGCAAGCGATGCTAGATTGGAAGGAGTCTAACACAAGCACATTATTGTTCTACCAATCTTGGCAGAGTTAGGTAACAAACACTGTATGTGCCAAGACTGCATCTCACTCCCAGCTCAGCCGTGCACACACGTGTATTATTTTCTGACATACAAACTCTTGTATGTCAGGTAGCGATGAATCATACGGAAACACTACAAGAAATACATGGTGACACATGTGCTATCACCTTGAGATGATGACAGACACTCTAAATGCATGGCCTTTAATTACAGCGTTGGTGGCAGTCAAGGTGTTCACATTACATGGGGTAGTGGCAGGTTAATATGACCAACATTTGCATGCAGTTGTAATACAGCACACAGCTCATGCTATATTTATATCTCAACTAGATGAATCAGTCAGCTTTTTCTGCATGCAGAACAGATAAAAATAATCACTTCTGCCTCACTACGGTTTTGCACAATATATTAGATTTCAATAAGTAATTTAATTTCTGTTGAAGTAGATATACATTACATTCTTGGTATTTTCCACTTTGTTGGCCAGGTTTTCTAAGTATGGAAAAGTAAAGTAATGACCTATTATGACAGACATTTCATAGATTGTAGGCAATTTACACAGCACTTTACATGTTGTACATTCACATCAGTCCTGCCATCAAGGAGCTTACAATCTAAGGTCCCTAACTCACTTGCATACATGCACGTACACCACACATAATAGCGCCAGTTTAGACAGGAGCCAATTAACGTGCCAGCATGTCCTTGGGGTGTGAGAGGAAATCCATGCAAGCACAGGAAAATCATACAAACTCCATGCAGTAAGTGTTCTTGCCAGGACTTAATTTGAGGACCCCAGTGCTGCAAGGCAGAAGGGCTAACTATCATTTGACAGTTTCCAACAGGTTTGGGCCAAAACTGGGTTCAGCTTGAGCGTCAGCCCATCATTACTTCCAACTTTTTCTGTCATGTTAATGTTATCTTCATATTATCTATGATCTCTTTATTGTTACAAAACCTAGTATTGCGCCAAGCTAAATTACTTTGTGACATCATTGTTGGCCATTTTACTTCCTTATCTTCTTGGGCTAAGTGGGTGGGTAATTGCTGCATAGCACATAGTCTCTTTTAAGGAAATCCATGCAAGCACAGGAAAATCGTACAAACTCCATGCAGTAAGTGTTCTTGCCAGGACTTAATTTGAGGACACCAGTGCTGCAAGGCAGAAGGGCTAACTACTAAGCCACAGTGCTATCCCTATCAGAGGAGTCTATTTATATTGTAGGTAGCCCCTCATACTATACAATTATTGGTAGAATTTGTTGATCTGACATATAAAAATCCCAACTGAACTTTCAGGTTAAATGAGCTCAATGCATTCCAGGTGAATCTAAAAACAAAGTGCTCAGTGTATTACAGGTCATTTTCTTTAAGATGCTTTCACAGTGTAGAAAAGAATGTCCCCTACCAGCAGCTGTAGAAAGGGACCGTTGTCCTTTGTGTGAAAGCAATGATTTCCGTCTCTCTGTGGAGGTCCCTTGCACCCTGTTGCACCAATAGCTCTGCAATCAACAAAGCTCATGCCCCCTGCTGATTGGAGAACTCTGGCTCCAAATCAACAAGGGGTGTGTCAGACCTCTGCAGAGAGACCACTGATTCCCTATAGAAAACAAGGATCCCTCTCTACAGCATGCTGGCACAAGACAGACCTTTTTACTCAGGTTGTGGCTACTTTCTAAAGTAAAAAAAAGATAACAAACTAATAACTAGAAATAAGATAAAACACTAAACAAACTTTGTTTAAATGCACCTGTAATTTTTTAGCTGATTTAAACTGAAGGTTCAATTGGGCTTTAAAGTGGACATAAATCATAACTAAATGATTTTGTGTTTGCTGAAGCTCTGTGTATAGGTAAATGTTGTTTTTACCTTGTGAGCTATAGCCCCTCCGATTCATGAACAATCACTGGAGTAGTTGTAAGCTGTAGTTTTAGGGGTTAATAAATATTGCAGTTATCTTTTGAAGTTTTTTTATCACCACCAACTAAATTCCACTTGTGTCAGCCTACAAAAAAAAAAAAATCAACCAAGCTAGCATTTCACCACCATAAACCTTCTTAGAATCATTTGAGGGTATTCATTTAGCTGTCAAAGGACATTTCAAATGAAAGAAATTTCTACAATGTGCAGATTCACATTCGATGGATTTACATATATGTGCCTATAGAAGAAGGAAGGGGAATTGGTCTTTCTCAGGGAAACAGTGATTGGCCAGGAAAATCCTTGCCAGCCAATCAACCTTCACATAGGCAAAGAGAGCATTGGTTGGTTTCATTGAGGTGCCTATATACAATGGAAACATACTCTAAACCAACTATAAATTGGCCAATCAGGCAAAAATTCCCTTATGTTTGCAGGCACCATATGTGTATAAAGATTCATTAAATACTTGTTTAAAGGGTAACGTTAATCATATACAGCTTGGATGGATGATCCCACTGCTGGCCTGTTGTATTCTTACAGCTGCTGATTGCTCTTCTTGTTGGAAGCTTGAGAAATAAAAGAATCGGTTGGTTTATTCGACCTACTGGTCTCCACTAAGGACTTCGACGGGCCATGCACTGTTACATTTTTTGTTGGTTCCTGAGAGAAAGGGCTAGCAGGCCCCCCCCTATGTGAACTTCAGCAAACAGTATATAGCCAGTTTAAGTCCTGGTTGAACACTACTAGCTTGAAAAGACCAGCAAATTCTTTCTATCTCTCAAGGTCCCAACAAGAAGAGTAAGACTCCCTCGCTTGGCAGCATAAAGGTTATGGTAGTGTGAAATAAAACTCTGAACTACAGTAAGGAATCTTGTTTATCAAGTCTCTGAAACTTCAAATACAGCATTAGGTTCTTCAATCCATCAACTACCAACCAAAACTGGAATATCCAATAAGTTACTAGCAGAAGAAAAACATTTCTTGTTTCCCAGTAACCAGACGAATTAATGGTGCAGAGCCCTGCTGATTGATTCGTGTGAAATTCTTCAAGCGCTTTGACTCTATTGATCAGTTTAAATGCTCACATTAAATTATGACAATGTTTTTCAACAGTGCCAAAGATATGAAGCATCGACTTGGCTTTCTGCTGCAGAAAACTGATGGTTGTGATAACACTACCTGCATGAAGAAAGACAAATCTGGTTGTCAGAGGTAAGCCTATTCTGCCCTTGTGTCTGTTTATGCTGCACACTAATTACCAATTATTGTTGAAGAATTTCTAATGGTGATCTCAGAGCTGGGAAAGATCTATCTTAGTAAAATACAATAAGATGTGATGTTTGCTAATCATAGCTCCCAGGTGACTAGTGAGATAATCCCTAAGTAGAAGATTATATAGTCAAACTTGCCAAAAGGCAAACAGTCATGGTAATACTGGCATTGGCTTGCTGGTATACTAATGCTGCAGTGTGAGTTAAATCCTAATAGCATGCTTAAATCTAAAAATATTTACAAAAAAAGAAACAATCAAAAGAGCTCTAATGAATCTTCAAATTGCGTGCTGTAAGAAAGATTTAATTAGGCATAATAAAACTTCATTTAATTGGCTGAGGTTTAATTATTATTGTTGCGCTGCCTGTTGAACATGCTCTGTTCTACTCACTACAAAATTCTCTATTATTCATCTTCCCACGTACATTCTTATAAGGAATAGTTTGATTTAACTTACTTATGGTAAAAAATACATAAATAAATTCAGCCTTATTTTCTTTCTTTCTCTCGTTATTTTTAACATTTTATATTTATTTTTTAAATTTGATAGTTTATTTAAAAAAAGAACTATCAAATTTAAAGCTGAACTCCAGGCTGATCTAAAAGGCACAAATTAATGCTGCTCTGTAACCACTGATCAGGGACGGACTGACCATTTGGAAACTCGGGCATTGCCCGAGGGCCCGGGGTCAGTAGGGGGCCCATGAGATGCCCCTTGTACCTTTTTCAGAGGCTTTTTTGAGTTTGGGCAAGGACACAGGGGCCCCATGATCCCCTATTGCCCGGGGGCCCCATGAGGTGTCAGTCCACCCCTGCCACTGATACATCATTAAATTATTATTTTTGTAATACTAGTAGTGCAAGCACCTGAATTTGACTAAGGCTGGCCATTACATTATACAGTTTTCTTTTACAATTTTCCTCCTAATGTGAGGTCATACCTAAACACTTCAATTTGCATGCAATCATGCAGGCCCTTGCACTACATAGCTGAAGGTAAATCTAAAGGAAATTGAACAAGAAAATTGTATAATGTATGACCAGATTTAGAGGTTGATTTACTATATCTAGAGAGAGCAAAATCTGGTGCAGAGAAACCAATCAGCTTCCAAGTTTTGTTGTCAAAGCTTAATTAAATACGCTGAAGTTAGAAGCTGATTGGCTACCATGCCAAGCTGCACCAGATTTACACTTTCAAGTTTTAGTAAATCTACCCCTTATTGTCAGGCTGTTGTAGTCAATGTACTGCAAACTCAAACTGTACTGCAGAACTCAAACTGGGATAATAAGAAGTAGCACAAGGAGCCAGTGAGTTGTGATGTAGTGCAAAAAAACATGCTAATAGGAGGAGAGATCAGAGTGACAGACATGAGCTCATTTGTGTTCTGCTTCTCTTTTATCTGTCCAGACTTAGCATGGGGGGAGGGGGAGTGGAGGAGACCTGTATGTGTTACTTGGCAGTAGCAGCGAAAGAATAGACCTGCTGTCTTGCCAGAACTTCACGTTGTGGCAGAGCTGTGTAAATGTCAGAACTAGATGGACAGAAATACGAATTATTTGGTCGGTAAATGGCTCTAATATGCATTTTATCTGTGTATTTTGTTGTTCGGAGTTCAGCATTACCTACTGAATTTATATATTTTTAACTGATGTTAGAAGTTTAATAGAGCAGACACTGGTCTGTAGTTTTTTTTTTTTTTTGTTTTTTACTGTGAGCAATATCCACAAACCATTTTTTTGAATGAAGTCTCTGACTTGTCCCTTTACCCATTTCAACTAATGTCTAAATAGCATTGACCAACCCTCTAAATGTTCAATGAAATAATCATTTATTTCTCTTTTATTTGCCAGGCTGACTTATGAAGAAGTTAAGAAATGGGCAGAATCTTTGGAAAATCTCTTAAACAGTGAATGTAAGTAAGATATCCATGTTGATGTGCATTTGAAAGGATTGCACAGGGCTACACATTTGTCAAATGTCTCATCAAAGCCACGCCAAACTAATTCTGAAATAAAATATTATCCTATATTCCCTCCTAGATTGTAAGCTCAAAAGACCAGGGCCCTCGAACCCCTCGGGTATTGTTTTGTTACTGTATTGTCTTATGTTCTGTCCCCCACTATAGCTATATTAATACTGTATAATAATAATAATAATAACTGCTAAAAGAAAATGTAAACCTACCCTTGACAAAATGAAACATGAACCTTTGGTTCAGATTGCTTTAGAGCAAACTGACAAATGATAAAGTATGCAAAGGGTAGGGTTGAGGAGCCCATCTCTAGCAATGTTAAGGGCAATGAAAGGACATGTCATTGGGTTAGAGATCTTCCTTCAGGCTACTATCTGGAGAACAGGGGCTGACATTTTGCTCATATCTTAGAAAGACTGGAAGTATAGAAAGGAAAGCACCAAAATCAGTGCGTTAAATTTTGAACAGTCTCATATTTCGAAGTTATAAAAAATAGAATGTCAAGGTGTTCGGGGGGTCCGAGGGACACCTTTTAACATGGCTAAAAATAAAATCATATACTATAGTAAATGTATTTATTTAATTTGCTCTTTTAGCCCTGAAAAAGGAGGTTCCTTTAAGCTCCAAAATGTGTTAATGCACTTTCAGCCTTCCTGAAATTATAAATGATATCAATGATAACTGGTCAAATACTATTTCATAACATAACATGACAATGACTATGATAACCATAGTTTGGACATTTTTGACATTAGTATGAATGGAAGCAAATATTCACACCAAAATAAATGACAATGCATATGTAGGTGTGGACTTAACTTCCCTGTGTTTGGTTCATGCAAACTAAAATAAGTGTTACACTGATGAATATTTCAATAAAATATTTATGGAACACAATGGGGGAGATTTACTAAAACTGGTGCACCTGGAATCTGGTGCAGCTGTGCACGGTAGCCAGTCAGCTTCTAACATGTTCAATTAAGCTTTGACCAAAAAACATGGAAGCTGATTGGTTTCTATGCAGAACTGAGCTAGATTTTGCACCCTCCAGTTTTATTAAATAACCCACAATGTGCCCTGCTTTATCAATATGAACGATTTCTGTAATTTTGAACCATAATGTCCTACATGCTCTGGTTGTCATCAAGATACCCTGCCAGTTGTAGCGGAATCACAGCCATAGATGCAATTTTTATTGAAACCCCTATGAAATGGTTACAGTTTTTCATCTCCAGTTTTCCATAATCTAGTCCACAACTGTGTATACGTGACTTAAATCAGCTAAAGACATCCAAAACCCTGAGATATGAGAAATAAATCTGTCCTGGAGGCACTGCCCTAGAATGTCATGCGTTTTTGAGGTTTACAAAAGGATCCAGTGATGTCAACCCAAGGTCACTGGTTTAAAATGATCTTGCTTTGGATGTGATACAAGACACAGAGCCCTGCTACTGGTCCCCAGACATAAAAATGACTTTAATTTACTTCTTAGCTGCACTTTACCATCATTCCCATACTCAAGTGTCTCTGCCCTCTGCTGACCTCCCTTACTTGAGACAGATGCTCAGAAATTAGACATATGGTGAGCATGGCTGTAAGGTTCTTTTTGTTAAATCAGATCTCCTTTCTTTATTTTAAAATGTATGCTGTAGGGCAATATTATTATTATGCAGGATTTATATAGCGCCAACAGTTTGCTCAGCGCTTTACAATATAATGGGAGACAATACAGTTCAATACAAGAGGGATAAGAGGGCCCTGCTCTTTGGAGCTTACAATCAAGGATCTTCAGTAATACTACCAACTTTTAAAATCCATCTTTACTTTGGATCATTTGTGTATGGTCCCTTACAATTTTACCATTTCTGTTGTATTTTTTTATTTTAGATTAGTAAGTAATTTTGAGACTTACCATTATTGTGAACATTTAGGTTATATCCCCATAATTTATGGAATCTTCCTTTTTTGTAGGTGGAGTGGTGGCTTTCAGATCATTTCTTCAGTCTGAATACAGTGAGGAGAACCTTGACTTTTGGCTGGCATGTGAGAATTACAAGAAAATCAAATCCGCAGCAAAATTGACAAGCAAAGCCCAAAAGATCTATGAGGACTTCATTTCTGTGGAGGCTTCCAGAGAAGTAAGAATCCCTTGTTATATTTTATACTGACCGTGACAGCTGAGAGATATTTTGCCAAATGTTATAACAAAACCACTGGGGATTCAGAATAGCCTTTGTTTCTTTGCTTAGCAATCTTTTACAGCCTGTTGCTGTGGCTCACTCAGAAATGTTTAATTTATATTAATGTCACTACTTCTGAGAACTCTATTCTTACTTGATAATTGGTTTAGTAATGTCGATTGCTGGGATTAAAAATAATTGTTTGTAATCTACAAGCCTATAGGGACCTCAGATGCATAAACTAAATATGAGTTGCTAATTGGCTACTCAGTTTCAAAGCAACCAGCTGGGTTTCCAAGAACTTCATTAGAGAGTGTCCCTTATCATTAATAGCACTTGAATGGAATTGCCACATCACATAATAAGCCTTGCATAATCTTTTTGTTTATTAGGTGAATCTGGATTCAACTACTCGAGAGGATACAACTAAGAGCATACTTCAGCCAACACACTTGTGTTTTGACCAGGCCCAGCACAAAATCTTCATCCTCATGGAGAAGGATTCCTATCGGCGCTTTCTAAAGTCACATTTCTACCTGGACCTTGTCAGCTTGAACAGTGGTGGAAGCACTAAGAAGATGAAAGGCCTGAACACTGACAGCAACCCATTCATTCCTCAGTGTGCCTAATAAAGACATAGACTGTGCATGGCCGCAGCTAAGAACTAAATGTCTGTGTGCTCTTATCTATACTGTACGATGGCTCAGATCCGGTCCTGGGCCAGCTCCTCTTATTTATTAGACGTGTGTGTGTCTTGCATGCATTTCTGTTTTTTGGGGTGAGCTGGAATTTTCACTCAGACCCGTGCAATGTTATCCAGATTAGGGACTCACTGGCATATGGGTGAAACAGGTCAAACTGAATATTCTCAGGTGATATTTACGAAAGGTTTCAGGTTCCTTCTATGTGAAGGATTCATTGACTGATCTTATACCCAACATGATGCTACTGAAGTCCTTATGACTATAGCAAAGCATGAAATTAGCTTGCTTTTGACATACATATAGTACATACAATGCAAAGAGGCTTCCCTGTGTTGGTGAAGCTTTCAACTACATACATTTTATTAGAAATGAGGTGTAGTACAGGGTGAAGTTGGGTAGCAATGCCTTTGCCAACGCATCTCCAATTGTCATATTGTTGAAGGACAGGGAGGTAGATACTACTGACTGGAGCAGGCAACACTGCTTTTATTTTATTACAGATATTTATTTTGACAAAGCTGTCTTTATTTAATTACAGTGATTCAATTTGTTTTCTATACATATTTTGGATTTTTTTGCATTATTTTTATATTTTATGTTTGGGATAAGAGGTATGGATTGATCATTGATCAAACTGCAATTTTATGAACAATTGAAAGGACTAAAAGCAAACCAAGAGCAACTAGCGAAACCTGCAACTGCTGTGGGCAATAGCAGGGAACAAGCTTTTCGTTCATTAGTGTTACAAGCATGTAGCTGCTTGGGTACTTTGAAACTTGTGCATGTTTGTGATGTCAAAAAAGTCTGTGAAGCCAAATAAAGTATGTCATGTAAAGGGCAAACTATTGTAGCAACAGTATCCTTGGATATGTTGACCCAGTAAAGATAATGTGGTGGTATGCTCTCATGCATTATTAACATACATAGGTGTATTTATTTAAAAAATTAAAGCATTAGCTGATTGCAAAAGATATATTTTCCAAAGAGAAGGAAACAGTGGCTTATGGTGAAGTGGGGTTTACTACTTTGACGCCACATTCAGTGTTCCAACAGTATAATCTGTGGACACACTCCTAATGTCCATGCATGGAACAGTTTCCATAAACTAAAGAGGTATGCCTAATGGGGGACTCCTCTTTGTACTATCAACCAATAATTGCCCCCCCCCCCCCCCCCCTCCATGATTAACAGGGCAGGACCTGCTGACCCATGGAGATAAACTGTTACAAATCTGCAATCACCCATGGGAGCCAATTTAGCGGAAATAAAAGTTAGCAAGGTGTAGCAAATCGCTTATTAGGTCTAACCATTTATAAACACATTTATAGAGGCTAGATGAAAACGAGTGTTGTCCACAAAAGCAAAGTATAAATCTGCTTTTGTGTACCACCAGTGGCTTGCTAATCAGGAAAATACATAGTAAGATTGATAATGATTAAAATTAACACAAACGTTGGTTGATTTTATTTCACCTAAAAATGTTTTACGAAAATCTGAAAGAATCATCCAGTCATATTTCATAAATTGTTTGATTCCCCACAGACTGGAAAAATCTGCATGCGTTCATTCAACTGAATTTCAAATGACCTATAACTAGAAATAGTTAGTGTATAGAAGTTGTGGCTAACTCAAGGGGATGTATTTATAAAAAAAAAAACATTTTGCAGAGCTATTTGTCCTGTGAAACTGCGTGTACATCCATTTTGTGTGAATAGGAGCAAAATCGAATGTTATTAGGCTATTTACTCTCCAGGCCAAATAATATTCATTCATATATATAGCGTGAATCAAGAAAATCCCACATTATGGCCACTAGAAGGAGTTGATGATCATAGATCATAGATAATAAATACTTATGTACTATGATGGTCCGCTCCATCTAGTGGCCTTAATACAGTGTTTCCATGGTTCAGTTTACCCTGCATAAATGAATATCATTCAACCTGGAGACAAAATGGCCTATTAGCATTCACTAAGGTGAAACTAATGTACATGCAGTTTCACAGGAGGAATAGCTGTACAAATTTCTTATACATGCACCCCAAAGTGTCAGATGCAAAAATTTTAGATCATGTAAACCATAGCGACTGCAAAATGCAGATTATAAAAAATGTACTGTATTGTGAGCAAAATATATCTTGTCAACTGTTTCATTTGTTAAAATGCAATTGGAAAAAAAAATAAAAGCAATGTGATTTTCTGCTGTGGATAAAGTGTTAATTTTCTCTTGTGGTGTTGTGCTAGCTTTAGTATAACAAAGAGCATGTGTTTCCATGTTTTCTCACACACTGCTTAAGTCGATTATAAATTTCTTGTCCCTAACAATAAGCATTGATTAATGCAGAGTTTGGGGGCAATGACACTGAAACTATTAAAAGAAACATTGCTTAATCCGTAGCTTGTAGAAAAGGGTACACTATACCAGCGTTTTTCAACCACTGTGCCGCGGCACACTAGTGTGCCGTGAGATATTGTCTGGTGTGCCGTGGGAAAAATTGCAATTTCATCCGTAACATGTGGCCTCGGCTCACACAATAGACCAATCATTAGAACAGCAATGGGCAAACTACGGCCCGGCGGACCTTTTAATCCGGCCCGCGGAGCGTGATACTGTCAGGATGATCTGTCCCCCTCGACGTATCTGCGCATGTGCCGGAGATCGCCGATCGGCTGCTAATGCCTGAAACTGGCACATGCGCAGATACGTCAAGGGGGACAGATTTTCATGCTACACCGGAACGGCGAGAGGAACGCGCGGAGCAAAGGTAAGTGAATTGACACAGGGGGGGCTTGGGGACTTAATATGGGGGATGAATTACTATGGGGGATGAATTACTATGGGGGATGAATTACTATATGGGGGATGAATTACTATATGGGGGATGAATTACTATATGGGGGATGAATTACTATATGGGGATGAATTACTATGGGGGATGAATTACTATGGGGGATGAATTACTATGGGGGATGAATTACTATGGGGGGGTGAATTACTATATGGGGGATGAATTACTATGGGGGACGAATTACTATGGGGATGAATTACTATGGGGGATGAATTACTATAGGGGGGCTGAATTACTATAGGGGGGATGAATTACTATATAGGGGGGATGAATTACTATATGGGGGGTGAATTACTATGGGGGATGAATTACTATGGGGGTGAATTACTATATGGGGGTGAATTACTATATGGGGGATGAATTACTATGGGGGATGAATTACTATGGGGGATGGGGGATGAATTACTATGGGGGATGAATTACTATGGGGGATGAATTACTATATTAATGGGGGATGAAATTACTATATGGGGGATGAATTACTATGGGGGATGAATTACTATATGGGGGATTAATTATTCGATTCCTGCCAGAATATCAGCTTTGTGTTCAGCCAAACAGGCCCAGGTTTCGCAATGAGTAAGTAAACAGAAATATGAACAATTATAAAATACTTTATTATTTCATAATAAAGTAATTATAAAATATTTTTTTGTATTTGATTCCTATTCAAGAGAATTACTTTATATATAGTCAATATAGGCACAGAGGTAAATTTTTTTAACATTTTCTAATGGTGGTGTGCCTCGTGATTTTTTTCATGAAAAAAGTGTGCCTTTGCACAAAAAAGGTTGAAAAACCCTGCACTATACAATGCGTGACGCCCTACCTTTGAACTTTGCTGTACAATGTTAGCATTTGAAAATATTAAAAATATATATTTATATACAATTAATTGATGAATATGTTTCCCTGTGCTAATCCATTACACAAATTGTTTGTAAAAGAATTTTTAATGGAATGGGGTGCCATTAAAAAAAAAGCATATCATGATGCATCTTGAGGTGAACTATAGCCAAGCAGTTATACACATAGCAGATATACATATATGATATTTTTAAAATGTTTTACACTAAGTTTATGTAACTATCTTCATCTAGTGTTGTTAATCACGCCACACTGCATAGCTGGAGAAGTGACCTCAAAGCTTTGCTACCTCTTCACTCATTGTCTGCTGCATGGACAATAAGGCTACATTCAGGCGGCCAAATATCTGAGGCTTGTTTTCTGCATTCAGAGGTGGCCAAACCCCATTTCTGGATTCAGCATTATTCTCTGCTTTGGCCACACACAAACTGACTGATTAGTTGCTGCTAAAAATACAGCTAAAAAGCCAATTTAGGATGCACACAGCCAGCACTATGCAAAGAAATACTGACCTTCCGAATCTTGGTTTTCAAGAGTATAGGGAATTATGGCTAATCTAATGAAGACTTGTTTTAAAGTGGAACTCCAAAATCTATCCCCATTGCAGTGAAGCCCCTACGGTATCTGTTATTAAAAAAAATATTCCTTTTTCCTGCAATCTCCTAGCCAGTCTAGTGACAACGTGGAAGTTTCCTCTTCTTCCTCTTGTAGGCATTCTTCCAGGACTGAGCGACTGTCATGTACTGACACTCAGTCCTGGAGTACTGTAAAATTGGCAAAATATCATGGCTGTTGTTCTGCCTAAAGAAGACTGAAGCAAGGAGAGGATGAGTAGAAATTGGGCATTTTTTATATGGGGGAATCAATAGGAAAAAATAAATTTGGTTGGAGTTCTACTTTAATTATTTATAATAACAGTATTAAAAAAACACTGTAGCCCTACCGCTAGGAGCTGCTTTGTAATTTGGGTTCTGTCTCTGTGCCTCAACTAAATGTTTTGAGGATTTCAACATGGGAAAATTTCTGAGAGTGGTGAAGAATGGGAACTTATGATACACTATATTGCCAAAAGTATTGGGACACCCCTCCAAATGATTGGATTTAGGTGTTCCAATCACCTCCATTGGCACAGCCGTATAAAATCAATCACCTAGGCATGCAGACTGCTTCTACAAACATTTGCGAAAGAATGAGTCACTCTCAGGAGCT